TTGATGGGTAATTTATGTATAAGAGTTCCAAAGGCAATTTAAAATATGTTTGAAAATTACCACTCCTAATAGTTGGCGTCCATTGTTGGATATTGTAATTCGGTTGTCTGAGAAAGCTCTAGTAGTTTTAAAAACTTTATGCTATAAATTAGTTTGGAATTTTAATATATTATTGTGTGATCTGCATATTGCTTGTATATAAAAACATAATTTATCACCTTTGTTTAATCAGGGTGAAAATATATTTAAAATTGAGAATGACAGCAGGCAGTTTCGTAAACTCTTAGTGTCATGTTGATGGCTTTGTAACATACTGTGATGGTTCAGAATGAAACCCACAGTGACTTGTGCAGCCAGCTGCAACAAATAAACATGTTTTACTGCCTACTATCATATTATGTTTACTGCACAGTAGACTGGCTGTCATCAGAGGAGATGGTATGAAAACTTTCTGATGAAATGATGTAATTGCTAATGTGGTGAGAATTATTTTGGTATTTTTAGTTCCCATAAACTTACGTCCTTTCATCTGATTGCTTGATACAGATTTCTAGCAGTATTTTACATCTAAATTAGTTACAAAACAATGGCTGATGTAGGGGCTGCCAGTTTTTTAAGGCCACCTTTTTTCCGCTTTCCAAATGAACCAAGAAAAACTGTAATTGGGACCTTGCCCCTGCCATGACTTCTTGGAAATGGCATGGCAGTGAATTGCAGTGACGTGACTGTTGTTGGTTGCTGGTAGGTCTGGATGCATATCAAGGTTCTTGGGGAGGTTGTTACTGTTCCTGTCTGCTGAGCCTATGGGTTGTTGTGCTGCTGATGTGTAATTTTTGTGCAGTTGACTGAAGATCTGCCTCTGCCCTAAGTGGTGTGAAGTGGTGGGTGCCTCAAGCCTCCTTAATGTCCACTGGCACCTGAGGATGCTAGTGCTTTACAGGGCTTCAGCTATGTTGAGTTGTAAGCAGGAGGCTGTGGAGGTCGGGTGTGCACGTCCTGTTGTTGTAATTCCCCTGTGGCTATGGAGCAGGTGAGCAAGTCGATTGATGGGTGTGTTAGTGCTTGATAATCTTTTGTTGCTAAACTGAACATCAGTCATTATTGCACAGGATGGTTTGGTGTTGCAAACTCATCTTTCATCCCGCAGGGTGTTCCTGCCCAGAGGCTCGCTTTTGCTGGTCAGAAGGGATATAACTTTTTTCCCAGCACTTACTTTTGGTAGTGAAGAGCTACCAAGCACCTACCACGTTATGTGCTGTAAAATACACCTTTTATAATCAACCTGTTGCTGAATTGCTTTTTTAGGATATTGCGGTTTGCTCTTCCTTGGGCCTCTTTGCCCAAGAACTTCTTGAGTATTTGCCTACTCTCTTTCTGAGCCGCGTCTTTATGCTGCCCCAGTTTGACAGTGTAACTGACCTTCATGGGTGCGAGTCCAGTGTGTCACAGCACTCTGGCTTTCAGGTCGTTCGGAGTCATAATTCGCTTTGGACTTTCTTCAAAACCAAAGGTACCTCCCAAGGAATTTGCCTGGTTGGCAGGAGGGTGTTGCAGGTGCCATGTGCCTGTAATGCCTGTGTAGCAGCGAAGTAAGGCATTGTGCATGTAAGTTTAGAGCTGGCTCTGGTGTTGATATCACATGTGCATTTTAAGCATAGCCAAAGTCAGTAGCACCTGAAGGAGTTAATGGTGGTGAGATCATTCAGGGCACAGAGTGGGTGAGCTGTAGCCTGGCTCTCACAGAGGTTACAGGGAGAATATTCAGGCATGTCAATTTACGTCTGGCAAGAAACAGTAGTAATTGGCTGTTAGCTATTCACACTGAAGAAGAACAGCCACGGGGACCTAGGTGGCTAAAAGCTTTTTTGAATGAAGTGAGAGATGTTTCGTAGAGAGCTTGTTCATATGAACTGAGATATTGTTCATGTAGTTACACTATTGGTGAAGGTTACGTTTCCTAGATGAAAGGAAGCAATCTTTGTCTTCAGGTTGCTATTCTTGAGAAGTGAAAATGGAGTCATGTTCCTTGATATGGTCATTAAGCATTTCTGTGGAAGTCATGTTGCCATGTGTTGGCTGCAGCTTGGAGATGTATCTGCCCAGACTTACCCCTTGCTGATTTTATGTGGGAAAAATACATATCTAGGTAGAGAAAACTCAACTTAGGCAGACAGATCAGAAACATAAGTTCTCCTCCTTCCTGATTTGCCTTTGTAGGGGAGTTATTTCTTCTAGCAAGCTGAATGATTCTCTCAGTGGCAGGGCTCTGCTGATTTCTTTTGGTCTCTAGGAAGTCCTTTCTGTCCCCTCTGCCTTTTAGCTGTTTGCTCCACGATCTCCCTGTTGTCTCTGGGAGACTGTGGGCTACAATAGCCTTGTGATGACTTTTGCCTGCCAAATCTTACCTCTGCTGAAGAAGCAATCTCTTGTCCTCTTCCAAGGAATCCACCTCCTCTCCTTGCTGTGTGGGAACGTATTGCCATATACCAAGGGCTGAACAAAAATGTGTGCAGCCTGTGAGCTCCTAATAGGGAGCGGGGACTGGGCAGTCCACCAGTCTGCCATGGGAGGAAAAATATTATTTAGCAAGTGAACATTTTTCTGGTACAGTTTTTGTATCAGGACCATTTGGCTCTTGTTAGAAGTTGCTGAAGAGTTTGGTTTTGATGGACTTCTCACCCCTGAGCACCGCTGCTGTAAAGCAAAGAAACCAAATTCATCTTAAGTATTTTGCTATAAAAAGAGTGGAAGTGCGAGCTAACGCTGTGTCTGTGTGCATCAGCAGGCTTTCCAGGGAGGGGTGGAGGGTTAAAAATGATTTCTGTTGCTTTTTGACCATAAGAACGTAAGCTGGCTGCTTGTAGTTGTCTGTACATTTCTTTGGGTTAGAAGTATGGGGTTTTTTTATTGCTTGTGTGGTATATTTGCCTGATGCTTTCTTCCAAGGAAGCAGCTGTTGCTGAGAAGTTGATGTAGGAGGAGATTCTAGTCATCTTCTTTCCCTTGGTCCTGCCGCTTCCTGCAAATAACACAACAGAAAACGCTATTTACTTCTGCTGTTCCACCAGCCCAAATAGATCCCACAGAGCGCAGAGGACATGTGTGTACGTGGTAGACTTGTAGCACGCAGTAGCTTTCAGGATTCATCTTGCAGCCTGCTGAGCACCCAGGGCTCTCGCTGGCACCACCCAGAACCAAGGCAGCGTGTGAACTTTGTGCATCAGTTTTGAAAAGCAGGAGGAAACCATGGGGTAGCCACTGGGACTTCTTGTGAAATTTTAAAGGCAGAAGCAGCCTGCTGTGGCTGTGCTGCAGGCGAAGGAGCCAGCAAGGACACAGAGAGACTTTTCTTATGTGCTAGGTTTGAATTGATTAACTTGTCTTTTGTAACAACTTCAGGGAAATAAGAAGGCATGTGGGAAGGTAGTTGTTGAAAGCAACAGGGGAGATTAGCACTTGTCACTGATTTAAGAAGCTGTTAGTATAATGCTGAGGTGTTCGTTAAATTTAAGAAGCTGTTAGTATAATGCTGAGGTTTCCTGGCACACACCTATACAGTGCATGAAACCATTAGTGATCAGGAGAGGCAGCGTGCTTAGGGCTCCGGTCAGTGATGCTAGAGAGTGGTGCTTCTCAAGTCCAGAGTCTGCCTGGTTCAGCCCCTGAGCTGCAGTTCAGGCTTAGGTGCCCACGTGAAATTGATATTTCTAAATTCTCCTTTGGGTGCGATGAACCAGCTGAATTTGCTGAGATGGTTTGAGAAGTAAGCAGTGGCATTAGAAACCTTAACTTTGCTCTGTTTTGTAGGAAAGATTAGTGATTCCCTCTTCTCCTTGAAGGAATTTGTAGCTGTGTCTCTCATCTTCAGTTTGAGGAGCATTGCTCTGCCTGTCCTGTGTGTGCAGGAGGAGATGCAGTGCTCTTGGGGCCTGAGAACATGCACAAAGATGGGGATGACTGCTGCTGTTAGGTGAGCCCTCCTCCAGCAGGAAGGACATACTGACTTACCTGGCTGCTGCAATTGTATTACCCAGTGCAAAATACACGGACAAGCGCTGTGAAGAGTGCCTTGTCCTCTAGTGGTACCTCTGCTACAGCAGCAGAAGAGCTGGTGCTGTCACTGTGCGGTAGGTATCTTCTGAGCAGGTTGTTCAGGTTTGGCTTCTCATGAAAATCAGAGGCCAGAGCTTCTGCTGGTAGATCCCAACTGCGCTGGGGTGCACGATGGCATCAGGTGACAGAAATCCAGGTCTGCTGAGGTGGTGGCAGGTTCTAGGTGGGTTCAGACTCAGGGATTTGCTTGCTGTAGGAACAGTCCTGGTGAAATTGTAGTGGCTCTTTGCCTCACAAGTGCCTGGCTGGTTAGGTACCCAAATACTTGGATGAGCTGGGGTTTATAATTGAAATGCAGTGAGTTTTATTGTCATTTTACTGTTCAGGAAACTGGGGCATAGTGTTCGTTATATGACTTTATCTGAATGAGCGAGAGAATCAGATTCTTCTAAATTTGACCCCAAGACAAATCTCCTTTCCTATGTGCCAGTGTATCAGTACTGTTGCATCCTGTATGGGGCTTCAGATTATTCTCCCTTGGCTGTGTACCTGCAGATGGCCTCGCGGTTTCACACAGACTGGTGGATATCACTTGTGAGCTCTGAAAGTGTCACTGATTTTAGCAGCATAAACTCTCCCTGTTGTTTGTGTGGTTGTGCAGTGGTGGGACTTGAGCCAACACTGGGATCACTCCACTGGGTGGAAGAGAAGGTATTTTGGATATTAATTAACTATACTGGAAGAGAAGATAATTGTGACTGGCTCCCGAAGTACTTGGACAGCAAACCAACTCTAAGCATACAAAAGTACAGTTTTGGCAATGGTGTGCTGTTTGGATAAATGAATGCATGAAAGATGTTACTCATGATTGAGCCTCTACTTAAGTTGTGAATGAACTTGAAACTTTTTTTAAATGCACGATAAATAACTTCATCTTTTCTTTTTAGTTGATGTCCATCAGCGTATTAGGTGTTTCTGCTTGGATGAGAGACTACCTGAATAATGTTCTCACTTTAACTGCAGAAACAAGGTAAAGTTTTCCTTAAACCTATTAATCTGTGTGGGTGATTGATTGTGGTATGTGTTTTTCATTCAGTATGCCAAGTTTCCTAATTAGGATTTCTAGAATTAAGAAGCCTTCAGTTGAGCTAATTAATGTTTTGTTGAAAGGTGTGGTTTTGCAGCCATTTGTGGCTTCAGTTGAAATTAGGGAAGGGGAAAAGATATGACTTTAGTCTTGTTTTATTCCAGTGCCTTTCTCTGCTGACAGGGATCAATTTTTGGCCCTTTGCCAACATGTATCCATATTATATTACTGTTTGGTTTTTGAATACTTGATTCAGTCCAGAGATTTAGGAATGCTGTTAGTTTTATTACAGCAGTGCTTATGAGCCCTAGTGATGGAACAGGGCCTCATTGTGCTATGTGCTGTGCAAGTGCAGGACAGGGGGATCGCCTTTGCCCCAAAGAGATTTCAGATGATGCATTACTTTCTGGTTCCTGAATGCAGCATTTGACTTTAAAACCACGTAGAAGAGATTTCTATGAAACTTACAAGGTCCTGGAAATATCACATCTGCTAATCCACCGTTTTTGTTTTAATGGCTATATTACATTTTTTCTTCTGTATCATGTTTTGTATGATTATGCCTTTTGATTATGATTCTGATTGGATTTAGGGTGGAGGAGGCTGTCATTTTGACTTACTTTCCTGTGGTCCACCCGGTCATGATTGCAGTCTGCTGTTTCCTCATCATAGTTGGAATGTTGGGCTACTGTGGAACAGTGAAAAGAAATCTGTTGCTCCTTGTCTGGGTATGTTTCATAACCTCTAAAACCACCTAACTTTTGCTTCACTTCAACAGTGTAAGAAAAGTTTTAATCCACAGGCATTACATAAATACTGATTATTTTTTATTACCGTGTTGAGTTATGATAGCGGTGAGGAATTGTAATTGCAAAGCACACGGTAGGAAAGAATTTATTGCCTCGGCTGCATTATGCTGTGTCTGAAAGACAAGCAGTGTCTCATTTGCAAAAATCCACTTCATTTAGTAGAGGAGTTGCTGAAGGGAAAAATAACTCAAACTCTTAAGTACTAATAATTATAGGAACGTGAATCTGAGTGTTCTGAAATAAACCCTTATGCTACCCTTTTGTCTCTTGGCTGTGCAATAGCTGAATAACCTAAACTTTGCTTTATCCCCACAGTTGATTGTGTGTGTAAAGTAACAGCATTCGTAGCTAATGAAAGTTAATTCTGAGTGCACTCAGACGCTTTGCTTTCTCTTACATGGATGTGGAATTTTGCAGTTGCGTTTGGTTGTGAGCAAGTTTAAAAACAAATGCCAAGTACCCAGCTTTTTCCTCTACTTGGAGGCTACATAACTGAGCCAACAGCAGCTGAAAAGCAATAGTGTCTCCTGCTCAAGGCTCTATATGCAATTTAACTGAGCTGAGGAGCCAAGTGCCTGGCCTGGAAGTCAGCGAGTTTCAGGACAATAAAAAAGACACAACCAAAAAAGACCTCCAAATCGAAATCCCATCAAACATGCATGAATTTTAAAGGTTTAGAGTTCAAAAATGTTTAGACCATTGGCAACACTGAGGTCAAGGAGTGCCACATACCTGTATGCTTCTTAGAAGTCTAGCTGGTAGCCCTCTGCAGGGTTGGACTTTGTCTTTTAAGGTGAAGGTTAGCAGGATTCCAAGCAGTCTGTGAGCCCCAGAGGGTGGAAGCAATGGATGTGAAAACAGCGTGTCAGATCTGACTACCACAATTGCAGTAGGAGAAAGTGGAAAGGTAAAATCCTTTGGCTCTTGAGAATATCCAGGAGTCTTATACAAGTAGAGTTGGACTCCTGGTGTTTTTTTCACTGCAGTGTGTATTGGATTCTCCCAGGGTGCATACAGTTGCATTTTTCTTGTGGATTTGTGCTGGGCTGAAGTACATGATACCTGGACCTCACAATTTTTGCACAAAATGGCCATAAAAAAATATTGAGAAGTTAGCTGAGATTCATGCAACCTTTGCTTTTATCAAATAGGAAATATTCTGACTGCAGCTAAAACAGTTGGGAAACCGTACCAGAGTTTTACATAAAAATGTCTTTCTTATTTTTAAGGTTTGGAGTAAGCTTTATTTGAATTTTCCAGTTGAAGGTCTGCAACAGTTGCTTCAGTTGCAAGAGGGCAAATGCTGTTTCTTCTCTTAGATATTTGTTACACCTGTATACAGTATGAAGATTTTGTTTCAAAGCTAGTGAAAGTTAGGAAAAACTCTCATTTAATTCTGAATACTTAATAGTTATATAGTAGTCATGCATTTTTTTGTTTCTGGATTTTAACATTGCAATGTTAAAGGCAATGGAAGTGAGTCCTATGACAGATGGTACATATTTATGACCATTTGCATAAAAATAATGGATTAATGTAATTTCAGACCATACAATTATTTATCTAGTGATCTTCCTTACGTAATTTACAAGGGGTTTGTACATATTTTTGTTTTACATAAATAGTGAAAGTATTAAAAGATAGTAAACTTAATGAGCCCTTAGTTTTTATGGTAAAGTCATAAGATTATTTTCATGAAGTGATTTTTGTTTTATAGTGGTGATAGTTTTTAATGTGAATTAAAATTAATTAAAAGGCAAAAGCAACTATGTGTTGGAGACCAATGCTACATAGTATTTGAAAAAAAAATTATCCTTTTTGGTATAAGCCCTGAAAAAAATCGTAACTAATTCAAAAGAAAATGAAGTTAAAACTTGTTTTTGCCTTCAGTTTATTTAAACTGCCAGTGAAAAGAAGAAATCATTCATAGCTTTGAATGCCATCTGGAAATAAATTATTTAAAGTATGTTTAGGCAGTCAAATTATACTAAATCAGAACAAGACATTTCTGTCATTTTAAGTTGCAATATTTCATTTTCAGGAGCCTGAGAATTTGCTCTTGCTAAGCAAACTGATAAGCAAAACTAAGTGATATCTTCCTAAGTATGTTATTGTCTTTGATTAATTGTTAAAAGAATGCAATCGTGTTCTACCACAGAACTATGCAGACATAAGTCAATGCTTCATTCATCAGACTAATCAGAAAAGTGATGGATTAACAAAATGAGCTTTTGTACAACCAGATGAACTAAAAGAAAAGAACCTTCATGTAAAACATTAACAATGTCTTCAATCATGCTATTAATCTTCTATTTGTAGTACATGAACAGCCATAATGATGGCAGGCAGAGTTATTTGGATACAAGTTCCTGGCAGCATGCTAATTGCTAGTGCTAATGTTAATTCAATTGGATTTTTGGAAAATCTAAAAGCATAAGGACCATAATATATATATATATATGGTGTGAGATGTTTTTAATACATCTGAATACATAACTATTTTCACTTGTTTGTGAAATTTTATTTTGCAATTACATGTTTGAAACCATCCCAGCTTCACATGGAGCATAAATATAAATTGAACTAATGTTTACTCAGCTTAATAGTAAGGAAATACAACACCTCACTCTTCTGTGGTGCATGCTCTGGATTATTTGTAGAACCAGCAGTTTAAAAGTACTGTCAATTAATTGCTTCAGGAATACGTAGTCTTGAGGGTTAGTTGGGATGAAGAGCCCATGTCTACCTTAAGTGTCTATAATAACATTGTGTTGTGCATCATGAATGACTAACGTCCTCATGTAGAAGCGGCTGTGATGCCAGTCTAAACTGGAAGAGCTGGACTCCTCCAAGTCATTGTCTTGAATGTATGAAAAGTCCCAGGATAAGAACTGGAGTCCAGGTTTTGTGGTGCTTCTTACAGTTTTTCAAACAATATTCTTTAAATTACTTTTTTTTTCAAATCCAGAACCATCCTTTGCCTCTTCTCTTTGGAGGCTCTGTATATTTTGGATTGTTTTTAATGTCTGTTGTGCACATAGCTGAACTAAAGGAAAAAAAGAATCCCCCCAAAAAACAACACTTGCATGTATTGTTTAAGAACAGTAACCTTAAGGATGTGTGAATTTTTTTGAAGCTCTTATTTTATTAAGACAACATGGGTAAACTCATTTGCTTGACAAGAAGAGCTTCATGAAAATCCCACTGGAAAATATTTTCCTGGCTGGAGTTTTTATTTCAAATTCTGGCATTTACGAGTTTTCTGTAATGACAGCATTCAAACAGCACAGGATTCAAATTTGTCTGCATATGTTTTCACAAAGGGAAAACCTGTTAGAAATATTTGATGGTCAATGGAGCAAATCCTTTTACTGATTTTTATCATAAAGTTGGCAGAGAAATAAATATTCGTCAGAGCTAAACGTTTTTAGACCCTTTTAGTGTGTGGTCAAACAGCTTGTTAATTCACTTATGGCAGAACCTGGTTATAAATTGGAACTTGGCAGACTACATTTTCTATTAATTGAGTTGAAACACAACCAGACAAACCATCATTAAACTTTTCTTTCTTTCTAAACTGATCTTTTCTTTAGAAGCAGGCAAATATTTCATAAAGAGAAAAAAATGAAATGCTACGATGTGTTCATTGAAACAGCAAACTGCAGATGTGTGACAAACCTCAGGTTCAGCGTTGCTGAAAGCAGTTTCTGTAAAGTCCACCTGAAGAATGACAGGGAACCACTGACTGTGTCACCATGTGGGACAGATTCTTCTGTACCCATTTCAGTCCCCATGTGGATGTAGAGGTGATAGGGATGATTAAATTTGGACGTCTGCTGTGTTGCAAGGTATCAGTTATTGCTAATGCCTTCCTAGAAGGGACCCCTTACTCTGTGTGACATGTTAGCTGCTCTATGCTACCACAGCACTTCTGTTCCGCAGTACTTGTGGCTACAGTTGGCCTTAATTAATATGAGAGCTTAGGGATAATTAATTTTTGTCTTTTTTTCTTTTTGCGGAAGTATGTATTTCTGCAATAATACATAATGTAGGTTATTTGTTCTGTAATAATAAAGGGTATTTGTGCTGACGCATGTGGACTCTTACCACAGTCACAGCTGCTCCAATACCTTGTACTAACATTTGGCACTGGAATTGTTATTTGCCAACCAGAAGTATTTCTTCATTATTTAACTACCAAGTGTTGAAAGGAAAGAAATAAGTGACAAACATACTTGGTGTAAACCCGTGCAGTTTAGAATTAGACAGGACAGAGACTGAGTTCATTTTCACGTTTTGTGCCTATTATCAGCAGCTCATTTACGAATGTGGTGTGAGCCAGAGGAAAGCAGAGATTCACCAGACAGGCAGGTCTGCCTCATTGAAAGATTTGTTTAAGCAGGTATATAATACTGTACTACAAGTTTGAGGAGGAGCCAGAACTCAAATTCAGATAGTTAGTGGTGAGTAAGGGACTGGACATTTAGCTTGTATTTTGAAGTGCTGCTTGTGTGATGTCTACTTGTAAGAGAAAATACACTTAAAGTTCACCAATTTTTTATTATACCCCAGTAGTTTCAGATAGGAGCAACTTTCTCAAGAAAATAAATATAGCTTTTTTTTTTTTTAAATCTTTCCATATTTCTAACTTTGAATTGAGAGGTGAATTGCTTGAGGACATGCCTGTATTAATCATTATTAGACATCTTTTTGCCTTGAAATGGGAAAGAGGGTGAGCTTCTGTCCTGTTCACATCAGGGTTTTTAAGGTTCAAACAAAGTGTTAGATTTTGAGGTTGGTGTTGGTGATGCCACAGTGTCCCCACAGAGCAGGTGCACTCTGTAGGGCTCCCAGCGTGGTGGGGTGGGCCACGTTGGACCCGGGGCCCAGTGCCAACCTCTCGTGCTGTGTACGTACTT